AGGAAGCTGGATAAAAAGAGCTGGATATCTCCTATTTGATGGAACTTCTGGAGTCGGCAGATGGGTGGATTTTCTTAGTGAAAGTAAATGCTTTCTTTTAATCTTAGTTTTAGTATAAACAAATTAGTAATTAAAAAGTTAGATTTGGGCATTGGCCTCCCTACTAAGAAGAAGAATTAGATCTAGAGTAAAGGAGCCGGTAATCGGCCAGCTCCAGTTTTCGGCCGATTGGTTGGATGCAAGGTAAAATCACTCTAAAATACATCGCATAATAGCATAACACATATCCCACACATACCATACCATGCCAGTGTCACTGAAGAACCACATTTGCAATGAAAAATATATCCTAAAATATCACATTTTAGCGATGTAATCGGCGGTCCCGCTACCCGAATCTGAAAAATCGAGTATTTTACGTGTGTCTGTAAGAAATATGGGTACCATAAAATGAGCTTTATTTCAAGTATTTTTCAGATTTAGAGCCCGATTTTGTGCTAGTCGCAAGCTCAAAAGTATCTCATCGCATGTATTAAATCAATGCAGCCGCACACCGCAACGCACACACGATATCTCTGTCTAATTCAGATTCCAACTTCCGATCACCGCTGTGCCTGTCTTCGGCCAGGCGAGCACTCGGGAGCTCCGGCTTGGGATACCTGCTCCGCCCGCTTGTGCTGTACATCAGCGCGGAAACGCACGGCGCACGCGAGCGCTTCCTATTGACTTTGTACATGCGGCCGTAAACTGAAACGCTCGGCCGATAACTGGCTCCAAAACAGTGAAAATTGAAATGAATATTGTCATGGCAATTCGTGATTTTTTTCTGGGATTCTTATTTTGTTTAAATAATAATAATATTTGCTTCATGATTTGAACAAAAAATGATAATAAATAGGAAGTAAAGGGTCCTAAAAAAAGGATTTTGTCTTAAGTGGCCGAAAACAGGCTCCTTTACTCTACCAAGTAGGCTAGGCCTATTAGAACTAAAAATCGTAGATAGAGTCTACATGTTAAAATGTCCTTGAACATTCGACAGCTGAAAATGACGCGCACGGTTGCGTTACGTGCGTTCTCGAAACCAAAATGGTTAGTCGTGGGAAGCTAGCGGGCTGGGAGTTTACCAATGAGACCAATGCACCTTCGGAGCTCCGCAGCGCGCAATTTTAGCGGAACTCGAAAGGTTCATGGTGGGAAGGTGGCGGGCTAGCTTTTTGCCAAAACAACGCTAGATCGGCTGCTGGCAAAATGAAAATAACTACAATCGAGAACATAGTTGGTTTCTTAACTTTTCAGTGAGATAATTCTGAATTCCAATTGAGACTAAATAATAAATTAAATCGACAAAAAACCTCGGTAGATCTCTTATTAGGGTGTCTGAACGATTTTTCAATTTTCAATTTGGGATCGTTTTTCACCATTTTTGTTTGATATTTGAATAAAAAATGTTATCAGAATAATACATTTCAAATTTCAAGTCTAACCGATGTTTCTATCAAAAGTTACAGCCCCTCCAAAACGCTGGTATATTCATATCATTTTGGTCAAAATCGACGAAAAAGACGTCCACGCAGAGTGATGTTGTTTTGCTAAATTCAGACAAACAGCTGTATCGCGCGATATGCAAGCGTATGCATTTAGTACGCATGTTGCTAAGCCAATGCGCGACTTGCAGCTTGAGCCACGCTGTCTCCGCGATATGTGCCATTGACTAGTATGGGTGGCCATTCGCGCCGTAGAACCCGGAAGTGAATACACGTTGTAGTCAATGGCAATATCGCGGAGACAATATTGCCATTGACTACAACGTGTATTCACTTCCGGGTTTATCGCGCGAATGGCCAACCATAATTTCATTCACTATAATGTGTAATTGAATTTGGGGTTTCGTGCGTACGCGGAGATGTTACGCGATGTAACCATGGTTTGGACTGAGCGGAGCGCACGCCCCCTAATTAGCTGATCCACCAAATAGCGAGAAGGGTATTTTTAAACTGTTATCAGTTGTGATCCCTGGGGGCTAGCGAAAATATAAGCACATAGAATTGTTCCTTATGACTGGGACTACTTATCGATTGGGGCGTCATATCTCAAAAGTGACAAACCTCAGAGTTAGCCAGGACACAATGTTTAAATTGCTGTTTTGACCAAGATATTTTTAGAAATTCGGGGGCTACGCCCCTTTGGAAATATTGGAATTCACCTGCTCTTTCATATGACACCTCATTTATTGATTATCACCTTCAGGATCACAACAGATAAAGGTTTGAATCTCGAATTGAAAAAAAAAAATTGACTTCTTTTGCATGGTCGCGCAATGCACGTAGACTGCATAGGGATGCGTGTAATCTCTATGGGAAGAATTTTAGCACACAACATCGGGTGCGCGATCAGACACCTGTTTATTTCTTCATTTGACATTTTGTTTTCAAGCCATTTTTTCGTGCGCGAATCAATGCAAACTATGTATTACCAAACTTTCACACGCAAGGAACGGGGAACACTCGCGGACCTTGTATCAAATTTGTTGCAAACAAAAATTCAAGGGTGATTTTGAAGCAGTGATGAAAATTGGCGCTGCGATGTGCAGAAATATACTTGAAAGAAACTTTAAAAATCACACCTGAATTTTCAGTAAATCGTATTTGTATTACTGTACCTAGTTGTGATTTGTTTATAACTCAGGTTTTATGAAGATTTGTCGGAAAAAAATGTCAATTTTTTTCTGTTTGGTGGTCATTTCTAGGCTAATATTTGAAAAGTTGCATCAGTAATGGATATGGGCCCGATGTTTCTCTTCTCGTACTCACATGTTATTTCTACTTAGATTAAACATAGGTTGGTTCGGGGTAAGACCGGATAACATAAAAAAGATATATATCCTTCCACCCTGCCATATCCAAGTTTTGGGCTGATTATTGCTGACCCACCGCAGGAAGGCCATTCAGATTTCTGTACGCGCGCAAAGCGCCCTCTAGTGCCCAATGAATGTGCCTTTGATAGTAAGCCTTGTCACTCGCACAAGGGGGGGGGATTCATCAAAATCTTGTGAAAAAATTAATTAATAATAATATTGACACTGTTGATAGAATGAAAAACATTCATTAGATCCAGGTCTATTTGTTTAATATAGACTATACATGTACATCATGTGTAAGTAGCTACAAAAGTACAGGGGGCCGTTTCTCGAAACCAACTCCATGACAGTCATATCTTTGTCGGCGACCTACGGAGATGTCATGAAGCGGATAAACCGTTTCACAAAGCCATGACAGACATGATATCGATATATCGCGATACTAGCAGCTCAAGAACATAGTCTTTGTCACGATCCACTTGATTTATCAAGAATAACCCAAAACAAGTTTTGGGGCTGAAATTGTTCAAAAAGAAATATATACATATAAATTCTCCTAAAATAAATAATAAATAGTGTCATTATCATATATTTACATCATCAAACGATTTGCATATTTCCGTAAAGATTCTTAAATTGAAGAAAAACCGGTGAGTGTTTTTTTTTCGACAGTCGAATCAAAAGTTAGTTGAAGGATACCGTAATGTGATAGTTTATCAATACGTACTTATTTGTTTATTGTGACGAGGAATTTTAGGCAAAATGTATTTTCTCAGCCAGTTTTTACTCTAGAGTCTCATAAATACTCGTTATATAATTGATTTGATATTGAAAATATAATTTGGAAGAAGTAATTAGAGAGGGAATAATAATGCACATAGGCCCCAAAGGTATGACGGTATCCTAAGAAAAGACTATGGATCGACTATGGAAAACGGTGTGTAATATTCTTACCTCTTTTATTTATATGTTATAGTTTAATGATTTTTGATTTAATGTTTATATTCAGCTTTTTAAAGTTTCTGTATAATTTGTATTCTCACTTTTGTACATTTACATTTCGCATCCCAAAGAATTACGTACCGAGCTCGTCTATATTTTTCTCAAAATGATAGTGAAACTAATCGTCCCTTTCGCGGCCCATGGAATGGCAACAAACTGACTTGTGATGGCGCTTTACAGCAAAGATATGACAGGTTCGGAGCAGTGACAACTCGCTTGTCGCGGAAGTTGTCGCTCATCTTGGCAAAGACGGCTTCGTGAAACACTTAGCTGACAAGTTGCGTGACAGTGGCGAGATGTCGTTGATCTTGTAGTTATGACAGTTTCGAGAAACGGCCCCCCCGAACGTTAATCTTTCAAAGAATGATGCTTTGCGCCTTATAATAATTTGTATTAGACTAATAATAAATTCAATTTGGAGTCGAGCCTTTTTCATTACATTCAGATTGCCTTCATGTGAGATGTGCGCAGCTAAGACAATGAAAACAATGGGATACGTGCAGGGCAGAGAGGAACGCAGTCTAAATATAACCAATATTGCACGCTGGATAGTAGAAAAATGCACAGCAAATATAACATAAAATGCACCCTCAATGACTTAGTCGTTCTAAGATTATTGATTGAATATCATGTGACCAACAAACTTCCAATCAAATGACAAGGATCTACTTACATGTACATGTAGGTGTTGTATAAAAGGCTTAACTTTCATTTAATCGTGTCTCGATTTCTTGAACACCCTGTGATGAGTTCAGCAATCACACACAAATACAAACTCCATTGCAAACTGCACTGTGCCATTGACTAGCTTAGGGTAATTCTATTGACAAAACCCGATTAGAAATATTGTCATTAAACGTTTCCATATTGTTAATTGAATATTGAATAGATCATGAGATGGGATCTTGATGAAAAATGGTTTTGAGATAAAACTAGTGTCTAGTTTCCAGTCTAGACTCTACCAGTAATCACGTAAGGATCTGTAAGGATTCTTTCTTCACTGACTTGAAATCTGAGATTTCAATTGTATCAGAGATAGATCTAAGGCATGTTTTAGAATACAACCTTGTTAGGTTGGACTATATTATTATTAGTGCTCATACATTTAGATTGAACATAGATCTATTTTGTGTTTTTCTAGGCTGGCCCTCTTCAACATGTCAACATTGCAAAGGACAAAGAAGGCAATCAGAGGAACTTCGCCTTTGTGGAATTCAAGCACGACGTCTCTGTACCCTACTCCATGCAGCTCATGGGGGGACTTGCCCTCTTCAACCGAGGCCTTCGCCTGCAGTTCCGAAGCGGCAGCAAGCACCAGTCGACGCCCCAGCAGCCCATGATGCCAGCCACACCCCCAATGCCACACCCAGGCTTTACAGGTGGTGGTGGCAGCGGTGGGATGGGTCTGCTTGGGGCGCCTCCCATGCAGGGCGGGGGAGCAGGGGGCAGGCTACCACCTCCCATCCATCGGTCCACCTCAGCACCAGGCAGTATGGCTAAGATGGGGCAGGTCTTTCAAGGAGGTGGTGGTGTTCCTCTCATGGGGACTCATCATTCTATGGGATCACCTATGGGACATCCACCACCAGGCAATGTACAGATGCAAAGCATGGGTCTTCCACCTGGTAATTCCAGTTACAAAATTTTCTTCTCACAAATTTATTTTCAAAAATCCTTGGTTTAACACTAAATGTATATTTTGATATGATGGGTTGATGTACATGTAGCTAATTATAGGTTTTGAGCATTCCTTGTCAGTTTTTAATAGCTTTGGTTGATAGAAGAATTCCTGGAATACCTGTGTATTAGATTAATAGAGGAATGTACAGCATATACTGTAATGCCAGTCCAGATACATCAAAAATAAGTCATTGATTTGGCAGTATTTAGATTACAAAATAAATTTGACGCTTTGTGTAGAATGATTTCTCTCTAATATTTTTGTTTTTTGTTTAAATAGATTCTTTGTATATGATTAAATTCCTACATGTTGCTATGATTATGATTCGTACTTAATGTTCTAGATTTTGGTCTTGCTTTCCCAAATCAGGTACACCATTTTCTCAAGGAGCTGCCATGCAAGGGATGCCCTTATCAAACCGGAGAGATCAAAGCCCTACACACCAACCAGGCTCTCCCAGACACAGCTATGACTCTCCAGAGAGAAGAGGCTCTGATAGTCGAGGTCCTCCCAACCGCACTACTGACCGATACAGTGACGACAATCGAGCGAGGCCAGAAAGGGACTACAGTTCGCGTTTTGATAACAAGGAAAGTCACGATTTCAACCGACAGAGGAGTTACGGGCGCGACGATGGTTCTGATTTTCGTGGAAGGGACAGTTCGTTAGACCAAAGATCCAGAGATAGGGGAAGGTACAATGACGAGAGTAGAGTACCAGACCTTGATGGGCGTAGAGATTATGATCAGGATAGGCAAGGAAGAGATCGGTATCGTGATAGGTCAGATGACAGGAGTGAGGGCAGGAGAGGATTTGATGATGGACACTCGCACAGAAGAAACTACCATTCAGGGAGATAACTCTTGCCATTATTTTTAGGAATTAGTTTGTAGACCTTCCATGTTTTATAGATTTGAAATATTAGAATTGGGTTTTAAATAGATGTAAATCAAGTAAGATCGTTTTCATTTTGGTGAGTATGATCTGACAATCTTACATGCAACACTAAAGGATTGTTCAGATATTAGGCTGTACCATATTTGTGTTTATAACATGTCAACTGCATGCAGCAATGGTCCTGCTCGTATCTACGGAGCTCTTTTTTTATAACATATAGATATGTCTAGTGTATAACAAAATTAGCATGCTTTACCGCGTAATACTTACCTAAATGAGGCTCAAGTCAGTTACCGGTACTTCAATAACCTATGTGTTATAAGTAAAATTTTATTTATGAGTAATTGAGTATTCATTCTTTATTGCAAGTTTTCTTCAAGTTTTTAGTTCAGACAGAAAACCCACTCAGTTTTGGTATTTATCACTTAAGATTTTGTTTTGAGGAATACTCTGAGGAAGCTGCATATGTGATATTACCATCTAGAAACAAATTGTGACGAACCTATACACTCCCCAGATCTCTGCAATGGTTCAGTCACTGTTATACTGTTTTTTTGATGATCAAAACCCTTTCTTTTCATGAAGAAAAGAATTTAGGCTGTTTTACAGTCACTTTTTGCAGCCGTTCCTCTCATCCTATATTGAACCTTTATTGACAACAGTGATACATGTATGCAGAGCATGCCTATTGTTTTATCGTTATGCAATAGTTTCCATGACTTGTACAGAATATTTTTAGCAGGCTATTAGAACGTGCTCACTTTTTACTAAATTTTAATCAAGTTTTTTTGTAAACCCATTTTACATTCTAGCACTTTCTTCAGTAAAAATCCATCAGTATCAGAGATGCCAGTCTTCAGGCTTTTACCTGATTTCAGGCCCTGACAACTTCCCATTTCAGGCTTTTTCAGGCGTGATATTGTACAGTTCATATGGGGCTTTAACGTGTTCTGGCTTCTTTTCAGGCCCAGTGAGTAGAACTGACTGGCATCCCTCCAGTATAATATGTGTTCTTACACATTGACTTTGTCTGACTCTGATTAATCTCTTCATATTAATTTTTGTTACTGCCAATACTGTGTAAGAGGCCACTCTACATGTACGTTCCTTTGCTTGGCAAGATGGTTCACACTGTACAGTAAGAGCAGTCGACTCACAATCCAGCGTAATTGTAATCAAATACAGGGTCATTAATTCCTTAAATATTCTGACATTGTGAATAAGCAATCCATGTATTGTCATTTGTTGAAACTAGACGCCGAATCATAAAATACTGTTCGTTTTGCAAGGTTGTATCGATAGATGATGCTTTAAATCTTTTACCTAGCGGCTTTATGGGAAATGTTTCAATAGCTAAGGATTTTTCAATAGAGTTTGTGAGCCCCTAAAAGTCTTACTATACAGTAGCTCACAACACTGAACAAAGTCTGACTCAACTTATGATTTTGCGATCGATTTATTTCATCCTTTCTCTGAGAAAGTAAGTACCTTTAGTCTGTTTAAAGCCAGAACAGCGTTAAATCCTGTACTTGGTACTTGAAGGAAGAGTTACCGGTAATACTTCTAGCTCTCAAAAGTGATATACTTAAACATGTAGGTAAGCAACCAGTGAGTCAATGGCGTAAGTCCCATACATGTACATGAACTTAGCTATGCATTTCGAGGATGAAAGCGTTATAAAAGCCACTAGCGTACATTGTTCTAACCAAGATTTTTCAACGTAATTTCTTAAATTGAAAATTTAGTCTTATTTAGTTATTGAGGGATATGCCTCCGTGCTCATCTGGTTTTCAAGAGATAAGTTGTTTTTAATCCAGTTCTGTGCTCATGTGGGTTGTAAGCCCATTGAGTTCTAAGTAAATAGTAAGGCTATTGCAAATACATGTCACCCCTTGACTTTTGTAAAGAAAATATCTGTTTGAAGCCATAACTCATATATTTTCATACAGGATTAATGCCCTTCTGTCTCTTAACAAATTATATCAAAACTGAACAGTGATGTGGTTTCTCCCCCCCCCCCCCCCCCCCCCCCCGCCATGTTATATGAGTATTGAGACCTGCAGACATGCCAACTGTTCAGATTAAAGAGGAACATTCCTCTTTTTGGGAGAAGATAATTATCATTTTAATGCAGGTGTTCCACTTCCTGTACAAATTTGTCTGTAGTATTGAATAGGAGAGTTAGGATTGTTCCTCTTTTTTTTGAAAATAGCATAATTTGTACAGATTTCTGATTTTCAAATGTTGGCATGTATGGACCTGTTGTATCAACATGTCCAGATTCAATAACAGGGCTATCAGTAAATCAGAATGCCACATACATGTACAGTTAACGACTGAATTATTCATACCCCTTGTAAATTTGATTTTTATTTATTTTTTTTTTTTTTTTGGGGTGGCTGAAGAATGAAAGGTGGGCTGGTTGACTTACGGCCTTTTTAGAATACTCTTTTACTGTTAACTTTAATATGACACATTTTCAAGAAATGTAAATCTGGACAAATCAATATTTCACATACTTGATTTTGTTCACAAGACTTGGTAAGGGTATGAATAATTTAGTTGTTAACTGTACATGTATTACTGAGCTTGAAAATGAAATTTGAGAAAAAAACATTTATTGTAATAGGCCTTGTTATGTTTTCCTGTTTATCATAGCATTCCATTTGAAGATCAGAAAATGTTTTGATATTGATGATATTGATAATAAAAGGAAAGAAAACTTATCCAGTGTTACTTGAAGCAATTCATCTTTTCTGAGACTTTTCCTCTATTTAAACATGATTGTAAATATTGTAATAATTTCAAGAAATTGTTCTTTGACAATTTTTAAACTTATCATTAACTTTGAAATGTGCACAACTTGCATATGATGTACATATTGTATTACATTATCTGGATATGATTTTCTAAAGAAAATGCAATTAATTTATTGAAATTATAAGAGACAGACACTACAAGCTTCATGTAATCATTTGCAAATCCTGAATCCCAAGACACAAAATCAATAAAAGTTAGTCAGGATGAAAAGTACATGTATATTCAGATAAAAGTATGAGTTCAAAAATTAACATTAATGTAATTGCCAGTGATAGAATCAGTTAAATCATACAAATGAACCAATTAATTTCCTATTGAGTTCATTATACAACAGGGAGAAAATAAATTTGAATTAGATTACAATGAAGGAATCAAAGTCTGTGACATAAAAATATCCAATACTATTGGTAAGCAACAATACCCCCTTCAGTCACCCCCTGCCATACCCTATACCTCACAGTAATAAAACTAATAATAACTTTACAACATTAGTATATTATCAATCATAAGCAAAATGAGCACTAATTGGGGACCTGGGGGGGGGGGGGGATAATGGGGGAACATGTTCTTCCGTGGGTTATTTTCTATCATTTTGTTTTCTTCTTCTTCTTCTTCTTTCTTCTTTCTTCTTCTTCTAAGCTTCTCTGACTCATGATCATATGATAAAAGCTCGTTAAGTTGCAAAATATATTCAGAAGTTTTACTTAAAAAAGAAGAAGATTTAAAACAAAGGAATGAGCATTAAAAAATTAATCTTTGGGGTGCAAAATAAATAATGCGCCCTAAAACAAAAACATGCTAAATTTGAAGAAGAAAAAATGACTTAGAGCAGCCAATTAATAATGCGCATACTAATATCAGGACTTTATAAATGTCTTTTTCTAGCTGAGACTTTACAGGAATATTTATCTTGGGAAGTATTTTGTATCTGCCTACGAAAATATAATCAGATTAAACTAAGGTTACTAAGAAAAAATATATAATGTCACTTTAATCCAGTCTAGATGATTTGAGATAATATCTAGGCCTAATTATTATTATTATTATTAAAAACAAGAAGAAAAACAAGAATAAGAAGAACATGAAGAAAAAGAAAAAGAAAAACAAGAACAAGAACTTACACGAAGATGAAGAAGAAGGACGAGAACAAGAAACAGAAGAAGAAGATGCAAGGCCGGGATGCAAGGAGAGAGGACGAAGAAAAAAAAGAAAGATTTTTGTTTCTAATAAAAAAAAAAACTGCCTATAACATTATAAAGGCGGCGCTCGCAAATGAATATTCAGACAATCACACCTAACTGCAAAGTATGATGCTGTGATATTTTGTATGATGTATAAAGAGAAACAATATTGAAATCATCCCTGATAATTTAATCACAATTTAAGGGATATACCAATGTCTAAAAAAATGGTATATTTCGCTTTGAGATTTTCTTTTGGAGGTGCCCTTTTTTGTTGATGCGACCCCCCCCCCCCCCCAATTTGGAAGGTGCTCCGCCATCTCTGCATTAATTCCTCATATTAAATCTGAATGTTTCAAGCTTTATAAGCCTTTCAAAAGTGTTGGGAATAATTATGATGCGCTGAGCATTCATCATGTATAAATGTACACCTTGATAGAAATGATCTACTCATACAACTGCCAAAAGAGGGCGCACTGGATATCAACAAAGTGATTGAAGCAGAACAGACATTTTGTGGAAGAACGAAGAAAAGTAGAAAAACTGGCTTCTGAAGGTAATTTCTAAAAAATCCAATTGAATTAATGGCTTAGAATTATGGGCTAATTATACATCTATTGTAATAGTGTTTATTAAAAAAAATGAGGCCTGTCATTGATCAGTCTTGCGTTTTTCAAGAATGCCCGTCCTCTCAGCCGGACAACAGAGGCTAGCCTAGCCATGGCTGCAGGGCTGGGTTTTCATGGGCAACCAGGCGGCGTCCGTGGAACGTGTGTAGTGTTGCGTAGTTAGTGTATGCATGCATGAGGCAGTGCGAATGTTAGACCGAAAGCTTCAGTCTCTATAATCGTCGGTTGTTCCACTGAGACTACGTCTGGCTCCACTAGACCTCCGGTTATAGAGACAGAACGACTGCCTATGCCAGCCTGTGTTGAACTTATTCCGCTAGATTTTAGCCGCTAGGCCCCTCCCACAAACTTGCCACGGCCGTATTGTTATGCCCCCCAAATCCCCCAAAATGTCATTTTACCTCGTTCATTTCCAATTTTAAATTAGGCCTAGGCTATAATACATCGGTTCCACTTACTAACTTGATTGATATAATCCGTTTAATGGTCCCTTTTAAGGAAATTATCGGTCAAAATCGACATCCATGTTGAAAATCTTGCAAGCCGTGTTAAACTCTCGCTGCCGTCTTCTTCTTCTTCTTCTTGATTTGTTTTTGTTTGGCAATCAGTCACAGTTGACTATTTTTGCCACACACTATTTTATGAATTATTTATATATATACATATATGTACAATTTCATGTCATAAATGACTATTTTTAGGATTCTTTCTCCTTCCATCCTCTTTCCTTCCTCTTTTTTTCTTTTTAGACTCTATAACTTTTTTTAGAGAGAAAATTCAATAAATTAATAATTTTGGAAAGAGACGACGGCCTAGCAAGTTTTGAATAAAAAAAAACGCCTATAAACTAAAACTAAACGTACGTACTTGTGTTTACGCGCACGTGCGCGTTCAAATATCACCTCACGTATGCACATGTGTACTTCGCACTTACCCCCACCCTTTTCAAAATGCCATCTTACCAGTCTTTGAGGTATATTTCGCAGACTTTCGGTTTTAACCTAGGTCACTCCGGCATAGGTGAGGGGGTGCCAGCTAGCATGTGATGTTGGAGGTGATCACCGAATTGTTAGAAAAGTAAATGGTCAAATTAGTTACAAGTATTGTGGGCTTTATTGGTGCAAGAAAAAGGAAAAGAGAAGATAAGAAGAAAAAAAAAAAAAAAAAAAAAAAAAAAAAACTCAACAACAATTTAATTGTTTGGATACAGCCGCTTTGTTCTTAAAACGAAGCGAACTATTGCTTTTTGTTTAACTATTTCTGAAAGTTTAAGTAGTGTCATGATTTCCTGTGGATGTGATAAATCAGTTTCTACGAGTAACATAGCTCTTTCTATTATGTACTTTGGGCATTCAGTGAGAAAGTGGTTTACAGTTTCAGTACGTCCTATGCAGTTATTGCAATGGCCTGTCGAGTGTATATTCAATCTGAAGAGATCTAAGTTCAAACCTATCACTCCTATTCTTAATCTATGGAGAATACTTTCTTCAAATCTGTTCAACTTACATTCATATGGTTGATTTACTGTAGGCAGTATATGTCTAAGAGATCTATCAGAATTATTCCATCTGTCTTGCCAGAGTTTTATATACTTGCTGGTAATAATACTCTTTATTTCAGAAAAGGATAATTTATTACAAATTTCAATGTTATTTTGTAAAGCAGATTTTGCATAAAAATCTGCCATTTCATTTCCGTGTACACCACAATGGCTAGGAATCCATTCTAAGTGTATGTGTTTTCCTTGATACGATAATTTTGTACTTAATGTAATAATTTCAGTTACAAATGTAATATCTTTTTCATCCTTTATGGCGAGCAGGGCGCTTACGGAATCACAAAAAATAACAATGCCAACATACACATTAATGTTCTCTAGCCAATTAAGCGCAAGGACAATTGCAGCCAATTCGGCTCTGAAAGATGAGGTGTGATCCGCCAATCGTTTGGCTTGTTGAAAGGAGAATGCTGGTACATAAAAAGAAGCAGAACTTATTCCAAAACTTGGAACCTTTGACCCATCTGTATAGATGTGTAGTTGTATTGGCCATTTGGTACTGATCAATTCTAAACTGCGTTGACGTAAATAAGATGGGTTTTCATGTTTGTTCACTATTTCGCTTAATTCTATCGACACTTTTGGAGCATTAATTTTCCAAGGGGGGAAACTAGGTATAGTGTAAGGTTCGATAGTACAATGTTTCATTAGTTCTGTTCTGCATCCAAATGGCTTGTTATTCTTTTGGAGCTTCAAAAGTTCCATTTGCCAGCTGGGCTTAACGTTTAATATGACAGGGTGATCTCGATGCATTTCAATCTTTTGTCTGAATCTGTCCGCCAGCATCTGTCTTCTTAAGTCTAAGGGCATTTCACCTAGTTCAACTTGTAGTGAATCTAATGATGTAAGAGGAAGAGCTCCCGCACAAATTCTCAAGGCTTGATATTGAATGGAGTCAAGTGATTTCTTTATACTTTGAGCCGCACTGTCATAGGCTTCACAACCAAAATCTAATAACGATCTTATCAATGCTCTATATACCATTAGCAGGGATTTCGAGGAGCTTCCCCATGTAGTCCCAGTAAGGCACCTAAGAATGTTCAGTTTCTTTTTACATCTAAGGACTACGGCATCTATGTGCGTCTTCCATGAAAGTCTTTTGTCAAATATAAGTCCTAGGAAATGCTTCTTTGATTGGAATAAAAGTGCGTCGTTGTTTAATTTCAGTTCTGGGTATTTTGCTTTATTGTTTTTAGTAAATAACACTGGAAAGGATTTACTCTGTGAAAGGCGAAAGCCCCATTTAGTAAACCATTCACTCAATGTGTTCAGATAGCACTGTATTCTGTTTGAAATAATTTCTATGTTATTACCTGACATCCAGATGACACAGTCATCAGCATAAATAGATGTGGTGATTAATTCATCTGTTGGAATATCACTCATCATGATATTATACAATATAGGACTTAAGACACTCCCCTGGGGGAGGCTGTTGTACATTTCATATAATTTTGATTCTTCTTTACCAATCTTTACTTGGAAAGTCCGCTCTTTCAGATAGTTATAGAGAAACTCGAGCATATTACCTGTAATACCATGTACTGATAGTTTGTAAATAAGGCCTTTGATACAAAGTCTGTCATATGCCTTTTCAATATCGAGAAAGATTGCTAAAGTATATTCACCAACATTAATGCTTCTTTGGATGGCATTCTCTAAAAGTACAATGTTATCCGTGACCCCACGTTTACTACGAAAGCCAGTCATGAGGGGAGGAAGTATATTGTTCTTTTCTACATACCATTGGAGTCTATTCTTCACAATCCGTCTAGTGGTCTAGTGGAGCCAGACGTAGTCTCAGTGGAACAACCGACGATTATAGAGACTGAAGCTTTCGGTCTATGCGAATGTATGAAGTTTAATTTACAGTCGGGCATTCGAATTCCCGTCTACTGCGATTAGATTATTGCTACTTTTAAAAAGCTCTAGTATTTTAATCATCGTGATTGGTCAAAACGTGTCACACGACATGCACCTTTTTTGTGTGCATGGGATATGCATGATCGTGCCAAAAATGAAAAAGCGCAGTCAACTCAACAGTCCGAGAATAAGGATCGTCTTCATAAACAAGGATCGTCTTCGTAAACACAGACCGATGCGTCCTCAAAACTAGGTACCGTCTGCATTTTTGCAGACGTTTCATATTTTTGATCGGCGCATTGGCGATGCAAAAACCGAATTCTGCAATGATTTTCTTGATGCATTTTACATTGACATTGTACAGAGACCTTCACATTATAAGCAATAAATCCTTGGGAAGACGGACAACCCATAAAAGTAGCGGTGAACTAGGGTTATTTTCCCTTGGGGAATCCATTTTTGGCATCGCCAGCGGGCGGTTCTGTAACATGAAACCAGAGCCCTGATGAAAAAAAACGTCCTCGAAAATGCAGACAACCCTTATTTTTGAGGACGCATTTTGTCCTCGTTTATGAGGATATCCTTGTTTAAGAGGACGATCCTCATTCTCGGACCAGCGCCCCTACTGCTCAAAAGAATCATTGCACGGTCCAAGATCGATATTCAGCGCAGCGTATGTGTAGAGCAAGTAGCAAGGTCTTATCTTTTTTAAATTTCTTGAACCAACATAACTCTCCTAGATTCTATTTATTTTCATGTGTTGCTATTTTATAAAACAAATAACGCACTTGACCCTGTTGTGCGTAATATAAATGCAGTGTATGCTCGGTTTCTTCAGATGGTGCGCACTGTGAACTCGCTGCAAGAGTCTGATACACAGAGGCGGCACCAATCTAAAGAATACTCACGTGCACTGCATTTACCATTATCGCACGCTGTATATTTGTACTGACAATTTCTGAATTACGCTGTCTCTGGGACTGGGAACGATATCGTTCCTAAGAGCAATTTTGGGGATTGATTTCAATCTCAGCTTAAAATCGATTCTACCTGACTGGTTCACCAATTCGCTTTTAGGCTAGGATCAATCCCAGCATGAATAATCATGCGCGCATATAAATATTCATGTACGCGATCAATCCAAACAATAAATAGACTCAAATTTTGGTCACTGGGCATCAATCAATCGCGCGACCAATCAACATAACAATAATAGGCTAGCTACCGTTGCTTAATTTGTCAATGCAATGATGCTCTTTTCCATGTTGATTTTTTTCGTTTTAACATTAGAAGAAAACTGGTGTAGATTTTATGTGAAAATTGATTGCTGGACTAAACTCGAAGTTGATGAATTTTTCTTTGGTGAAGACTTAGACTTAGTTAAAGTTTGACTGAATTGGAAGGGGCTAGCTCGGCTGACATGCAGGGGCAGATCTAGGGGGGGAGGTTCAGTGGTTTAACCCCCCCCCCCCCTTGGGCGGCCAAGTGGGAAGAAAAAAAAAGAAAAAAAAAGAAGGGGAAAAAAACAACAGTAAAACAGCACAATTTTTGGAGAATCCTTGATCCGCCACTTGGTCAACCCCCCCCCCCCCCTTGGGAAAAAGCTAGATCTGCCCCTGACATCGGGAGGTTGATTGAAGGAGTGGTTGCATAGATTAATGTTGAGTAATCTGAAATAATGGATGGTTCTGTGTCACCTAAGAAACTTCAGACTTCAGAGTTAGTTTCATTGGTGAAACGTTGGTTAACCTACGAACGTCTGGGTCCTGTTGCCTAATTTATTTTTGTGGCGGGATTCTAAATTTGCTCCCAGTGAGTTAACACTGATTGTTGCTGTATTTGCATAGATTTAAGTAATTTTTAAGAAAATAAGACAGACTCCATCTAAAGTAAAGTACACCCCACATGCAGGTGCGAATCCAGGGAAGGGGGGGGGGGGGGGGTGTTGAGCAAAATATCGACCGGCACGATTTTTCAAATTTCAGCATACTAAATTTCAAATTTATTTCAAATTCGGGCCTCCCCCTAAGAAATCCTGGATCCGCGCCTGCCCACATGTACAAATTAAAATTGCCAGTAGGGGTAGATCTTTTCATAATATAATTATGTACTCATACATGTAGGAATAACCTTCCTTTGTAACTTAATTTGTCAATGCTAGTTTTTAGAAAAATCGATCATGATTACTTTAAAAATTGAATGATGAGCTGCAAAGTGCAAATGCTCCTCCAAAACATGCCTGATGTAATCAATTATTGCAATTTAGTTCTAGTCTCAGTGCTGGAGAACTTGACTGAAAAATAAAAATAAAGATTGAATTAACAAACTAGCAAAATGAGAAGACAGACTCCAGGACTCCAGGGCCCATTGCATGAAACTTACTATTGATGGTAACTTTGCCATTTATATTCGCAACTTCCAAGTTCCATGGAAGTTTTGATTGTATTGGCTGTTGAGTTATGTTGCCATGAAATACTTATAAGTTAATATTGATTATAATTAAGTTACTATCAATGGTAAATTTTTTGTGACGGGGGCCCTGACTTTCAAGATGAGCAGTTGTATCAAAATAATGAGTATTTGGAAACCATTACCTAAATTTGCATCACCTATAGTGGCTGTATGCGGATATAATTCACTTTTGTTTGTCCATGTCATGATCATGAAAGAATTCTCTTCCATTATATTTTCATTTCTGGGATAGAATTCAACAGCAGAAGGTGATTGCGGTCGCTTCAACCTCATTTGGTTTGATGTCATGTAATGCAACACACCAGAATCCTCCACCTTTTGTGTTCTAAGAATTAATATTTTTGTTTCTTTTCTATTATTATTTTTTCTTCACTTTCAGGATAGAAATCATGGTTGCTTTGCTGTCATTTGGCTTGATGTGATGTAACAAAAAACACCATCTTGCAAGGAAGAACTGATGGGAGAAGAAAGAGGGGCAGGCCAACTAGAACATACATGTAGATTGATAACATAAGCAGTGGATGGAAACGTTATTTTAGCAGCTAACTAGAACAGCTGAAGACAGGAAGTTTTGGAGAACCTGTGTCTCAAGGTCAATTTCATCATCGCCCCAACGACCTCCAAGCTATGGGACATAGATGTCATCTAACATAACCCCCACCATCTGGTCTTCTGTTTTTCAGGTAAAGCTCTTTGATTCATGAGATGTTTAGTGGCATGCCCTGTTTCTCAATATGCACAATGACTAAACGAGGATGAGAATGTATAGAGGGCATACTGACCCATAGCATATAGGATTAAGATTGAGCAAAATTCGATTAAAAATAGGGAAGTTATGAATTTTAGAAGATGCAATCAATCAAGCACAAATTGGCAACATTGTGAGGTCCCCACTTCCCTCCCATTTTCACTGTACTATATCAAAATTAGAAAAGTATGAAATCCATAATGTCAATGAATCAGAAAATGAAGGTTTATGAAATTTTCTGTACAGAGCAACTTGGAGAGGACCTCACAAGATTTGTCACAGTGTTGCCAATTTGTGTTTCACTGCTTACAAATTTAGAAATTTCATAACCCTCCTATTTTTAACTCAGATATTGCTCAAACTTTTATAATGTGTTTCACATAATGTTCTGCTTGTATTAAAACCATCTTAATATCAGGGCAGACTTGCCCTTTAATACATTCCAGGGGGGTGTTTCACAAAGATTCTTAGTCAACTTATTTCTAAGTTGGACTTAACAATTATGGAAAGCTGTAAGCTTCTTTGAAAATATTTCGTAAAAGTTATCTTAAAGGGCATAAAATGTTGATTCAAATCATTCATATTTTCTATTACCAAGGAGGTTACATGAAAAGTCTAAAAGTATTGAATTTTTGCTTTTGAATATATTTCATACAGTGTATAAAGGCTACAAATGGCTCTCCAGAATTTTTAAGTCCAACTTAGAGTTAAGTTCTACTTAGTATCTTTGTGAAACACCCCCCTGATATCTTTTTCTAGCAGACGAAGCATTTGAGTAAACATGTTTACCGTCAACTAGATCCTTCGCCCCTGATATGTTTTTAAAACATTTTCCCTACTTGTTGTGAATTTAAAAAAACATAATATGAACTTTTGAATGATCTTTCCCCATTTCTCGCTCCTGTGAATGTCATCTGTTTGTTGTGAACTTTTGATTCCTAGGAAGTTTATCTTTTTCATATCACCTTTCAGATGCTGTCATAGGATCTTTGATGAAGCTGTATCGGACCTATTTGGAAACCCTGCCTGTGGATTTTTGGCGTGCACACAGTATCTGCTTCATCTACTGAATACTGTATTAGCAGTTATTTTTGAGGGAATTTTATTTTCAGGAATCACTCATTGATTGCGATGTTAACAACATGCAAGAATAATTATTTCCAGCGAGTAATGTCCCATGTATAATTCACTAAAGTAATCACCATCGCATGTCGCAAATGGTGACTATACATTATAACACGAGCTATCACTGGGTCAGGTGGCGCAGTTTGACATCACACTGATCGTAATGAGGCACTTTATTAGATTATTTCATTTATTTCTCCCGAAATAATTCTTATATTGTGATACTTGGTAATGAGTTCATGGGCCATGGAAATAGAATGATAATTATTGAAAAGTATATAATTGGTAGTGGTTGTGCCCTTACATGAATATATCAACTCACGAACCTGCCCAGTGATCCCCTCACCAAATACCAGTTCTTAGGATTTGAATCCTTGAATGTTTCATTGGAAGGTCTGTGATTGATCATGGCTTCAAATGAGGCTGTGTACTCTGATCTATCCCACTCGCTCCTTTCCATGTGCTCGGCCCTGCTCAGTGATATTGAAGAGGGAAGACAGCAGACTCTGTTTGAAGGATCATCACATGTGGCCCAGCATGAGGCATCACAACCACAGAACCGCAACTATCAGACCCCACTTGGTGGTATAGAGGCCTCCCACTTGGGCAGAGACAGAATGCTTGTATTGGACAACACAGACTATGATGAAGTTGGCCAAGAGAGTCCAGCTCATGATGAAGTTAGTCATTTTGGGAATCTGTTGAGCAACGAACCAGATGGTATTCAAAGTAGCTGTTTCAGCGATACATCCTCAAAGCCAACCATTCTCGGTCATAGTTCTGCTCCTAGGGCAAGTGGTGTGAATACTGTATCCGCACCTTCCTGTGATGAAGAGAAGTCTCAGACTGATGTCAAGTTCCTCTGCAGAGAGTGTGGCAAGGAGTTCAACCATCAACGGTTCTACCGAGAACACTGTCGCATCCATACAGGAGAGCGCCCTCTTGAGTGCAAATACTGCGGGAAGAGTTTCCGACGAAGCAATGCCCTGTACGTTCACGAGCGTGTTCACACAAGAGAAAAACGATACAGTTGTCGGATTTGTAAGAAAACATTTGGGAGAAGAGACACCTTGAAGACCCATATCCGCACCCACACGGGTGAGACACCCTATAAGTGTTCCTTCTGTGACCGCAGGTTCAACCAGAGGAACGGTCGTATCCTGCATGAGAAAGTCCACAAAAACGACGAAACGTTCACATGCGATGAGTGTGGAATGAAATTCAGGCAGAAGTTTGGGTTGCAGAATCACCAAAGAGCAAGTGTGGTGAACAGGAAGTGCACAGAATGTGGTAAAGCTTGTCCTAACCTTTGTACACTCAGGGTGCATAGGCAACAAGTTCACAACAAAAAGCTGTACTCTTGTGATGAATGTGGGACTTCATTTGCTACAGAGAGAAAACTTGGAAAGCATTGTCCCTGCAGCAGTAGTAACCAGACTGTGTTTGTATGCAAGCGGTGTGCAAGGACATTTGATAACCTTCAAGATTTGGGCAGTCATGAATGCTCCAAGATCTACAGGAATTCTTTCACATGTGATGTTTGTGAGCAGAACTTCAGCAGCATTGAGGACTGGAAGACTCACCGACTTAGACATTCTAAGAAGAAGGTGTTTCAATGCAGTCACTGTGACATGGTCTTCAAGGCAAAGAGAAATCTCCTGAGGCATACACCCTTACATGCTATGTTGTGCAACGGTTCTCTCTGTCCATCGAATCTTACCGATGGTGAGACTAGTAGCACTGAAGTCGCAGAAGTCTCTGCTGCTCTCACAATTGCAGATTTAGTGAACAGAAATAATAACGTGCATGGGCAGACAGAACTTTATTCTAATAATGGGACATTGACTAATGAGGAGCAACAGCACACTTCATGGACTACTTCATGTGACATTAATATTAGTAATGACCAAAGTCTCCAATCATCCTCAAAAGCACCTGTAATTCCTTTGCATCCTCATCCTGGATCGTTGTCTAACCAAAGTCCTGCATTTGACCTTCACTTACAGAATAGATCTTCCGCTGTAGTGAATACCAACGTAAGAGAAAATGTGGAAGAGAAAGCATTTGTGTGCTCAGATTGTGGCAAGTCTTTTGGGAAAAGACGGAGCTACACGGCACATCAGAGGACACACAGGTCAGAACGTCCGCACAAGTGCGAGTTCTGCGGGATGGGATTCAAGCAGGCCTTGACGCTGACTCACCATGTTCGAAAACACACGGGTGAAAAACCCTTCATTTGTGAAGTCTGTAATAAATGTTTCATTCGGAGTGATGGACTTAGAAATCACATGTTGATTCACACTGGTTCCAAACCATACAAATGTATGTTCTGCGAGGAGTGGTTCGATCAGAGGAGCAGTCGCGCTGTGCATGAGAAAGCACACAGTGAAAATGGCGTCACTTTGTGCGAGTCGGGCAAAGACCTTGAAGAAAATTGTAGTTCTTTCACACAGTCACATCTAGATGTGTGTCTGCAGTCATTAGACAGAGAAACAGGAGAGAAAGCCCCAACTCAGGCTCAAATATTTGTGTGTTTGGAATGTGGAAAGGTGTTCAAGAAGAGACACAGCTACACAGCACATCTGAGGACTCACAACCCAAAACGCCCTCACAAGTGCAAGTTCTGTGAGAAGTCATTCAGGCAGTCTACAGCCCTTAGACACCATGTCCGAAAGCACACTGGAGAAAAGCCATTTGCCTGTCTGATTTGCAAGAAAAACTTCAGTAGGAGTGACAGCCTTCGAACCCATATGTTTATCCACACTGGTACCAAACCCTACAAATGTAAGTTCTGTGACACTTGGTTCAATCAAAGGGGCAGTCGCTACTCCCATGAGACGACGCACTGTAGCAACAAGATACCCATCTGCTGTTAGTATTACGGCATCGGGAGCTGTCAAATGTCTGGTCTCCTGACTCATCAAAAGAATGCCAGGAATATAAAAAGTGTATCCACTAGTAATGATAATAATCACATTTGTATAGCCCTTTATACTACATTTCTAAGTGCTTCACATTATTATTAACTCGGCCATTGGATTCAATTGGTTATCAGCACTTGATAGTGCCCACCCTCCGCTCCCTGGGGAGTATTCCAACTATTCAAGTGCACACATGCCAATCCAACCATGTTCATGTGCGCATACTGCCGACTCTGTTAGTAATGTGGCATTGGCAGCTGTCAAAAGTCTCAACTTTAATTCATTCAGAATCTTTTCATTTGTGCACTAGTGCATTGAAGTGTATGGAAAGGGTTTATGTATTCACTTGAAGGAATGTGAGCTATAGTATATCATGACTTTCAATATCCATGGATTGTATTATCAAACATTTGAGGTCAAAGGTTATCCCAGCTTTCAAAGCTTTGCTTTCCATCTAAATTATTCTGAGTAAAATTATGATATACCCTATATTCAATTTTGTCTGACTGTCGTGTTTGTGTGTTTCAGATAGAAGAATAGCTTGGAATGAGGATGAAAGATAAGATGTGACTTAAAGGGATCCGGTAACTTTGTCTCAGATCCTGTAACAAAATCCTTGATTTAGCTCATGCTGCATTCATAATTATAAACCTTTAAGTCATTCAGGGATCCCATGACTTTTATCGAGATATATATGATTGAAAATCGAAATTTCATTTTGCGTTTTCCTAACAGTTTTCATAACTCTACTGTCCATTGGGGAAAATGAGTATGGTAAAAAAAAAAGGTCAGTCAAAGATTTTCAATTTTTGGGGCACTTCCTGGTCATTTTGAAGCGCAATTCTTTCAGGGCTTCAACATAACACCATATCACAGACACTGATAACACGCAGGGCCATGCGTCTTAGATTTAACATTGTTAAATGATGTCTTTAAGAAGATTCAAAATGAGGGTTAGAATATGAATTGATTAAGAGAGAAACAGTGTGCGACAGAGAGAGAAAGAGATAGGGATGGCCAGGTGAAAGAAAGAGAGAGAGAGAGAGAGAGAGTGAGTGAAAGAGAAGGGAGAGGGAGAGAGGGAAAAATCATTGCATGACTGGTATAAAGGCCAACATGAACAGAGCGCGAAAGACCACCGAGAGAAGAGGAAGCCTTGGAGAAAAAGAGAGAGTGCGAATTGGTGGAGGCGGGGTTAAAAGTGAACGAGGAGGCGGCTTTGAATGTACACTACATATTTTGTATCTTGTATGAGTTGTAATTAAATCGTTAAAATTGGCTATATAGTATATTTGGGACACCTTTGATTATGGGAGGGGGCCGAGCGGACCCCCACCCCCCCCCCGCCAAAAAAAAAATTGTGATCAGAAATTTAACTTTTTCTTTTTTGCTCAAGGGGGTCACCCTTCACCCCCCCCCCCCCCATTGGCTCGTGGACTCCTCATCGTCATTAGGTTAAACACCCCACCCCCTTAGCAAAATGCTAGATACGCCCCTGGTGAAAATTATCGTTTTGGGGAACTTCGATATTTGAAGAGGGCCGAATCCCATTTGATCAATCACCCATGCAGTCATTCAAATCATTCACAATATATAATAGAAGTGGCGGAGCTACAGGGGCACGTGCCCCCCCCCCCCCCCAAACCAAAAAAAAAGAAGAGAAATTAGAGAATGGGAAAAGAGAGAATCTAAAATGGAGAATGGGGAAAAGAAGGCGACTCGCTCATCTCCAACACCCCAACCTAATCAGTAGCCTCATAAATGTGCCTTTCATTTTCCGAGTTAGAACGGAGCCCCCACCCCCATAGTTTCAGGGCCGCCATTAATGGGTAAACTCGTGTTACTCCACTCTATGATATACAATACAATCACAGAAATGAAATGAAATGGTATCAACGTTAAGTGATGAACAAATAAATAACATCCGTTATCACACACCGAAATACTAGACGGAAGTATTCTGAGAGATATCTATTTTTTTACGAGTAACAATTAGACACATCCAGCCTGGCTGTAAGCTAAGAAATTAGCTTAAAAATTGTTAAAAATGAAAGATGAGGCGGCCATCAATATATGTGGTATATACAGTGGCGGATCCAGGATTTGCCGATATAGGGGGGGGGGGGGGGGGGTAGTAAGCATATTTTCTTTTTCTTTTTTTGCCCACGAAAATTTGAGAATCACGAAGACCGTTAATTTCGCTCAGTGGGGGGGGGGGGGGGGGGGTAGTGTGAGCACCAACTAAATAAATACATATAAAACATTTTGTAATTTTAAAAATAAGGCCAGAGGGGGGGGGGGGGAGCCCCCCTCCCCCGTGGATCCGCGTCTGGGTATATATTGGTAATCATTAAATCTTGGCTGACTGGTAAGCCTACGTGGTTGCATGACTGAGGCAGATATATATATATATATATATATATACATATATATATATATATATATATATATATATACAGAAACTGGGACACCTTAGATTCTGTTCGTGCGGACAGTAAGGGAGGGGGGGGGGGGTTGTACGGGCGGGAAGACACAACCAGTTCGTGGCCTCTCCTTTAAAAACCTTAGTGACAGACTTTCCTTACATAGGTCCTAAATTGTGCCGCCCGGTAAGGTGACAACCTTCAGCTTATTCTTTTGGTTTCTTCTTCTCTCTTTATCTCCTTTTTGTCTTCTTCTTTTCTTTTCTGTTTGCTTGTCAGCAAATTAAGGAATGTTGTGTGTGCCCCCTTTTACAAACTCCTGGCTCTCCCTCTGCTTCAGGGTCTTGGCCAGCAATACTTTTTAATGAACGCTCACCAAGCACGTACTGAAAATAATAAAAGCAAAGCAAAAACGAGTAGGCCTAAATACAACCCCCCCCCCCCCCCCAAAAAAAAAAAAAAAAAAAAAAAGAAGAAGAAGAAGAAGAAGAAACAAACAAAATATTATTAAAGTTAGGTTTTTTTTCTTCATTATGGATGCAGTGGTAATCTAATAAGTTTTACATTTCCTATTTTTTCGAAATAAATTGGACTTTAATTTGACAAAGACATAAACAATGGGATTTCAAACAGAACCATCATGGTCGTGGAAGGTAACTGCCACTTCTGTCCTTTTATGTCTAACGCAAATGAAAAAAATTGAACTTTTAGAGGACTTAAAGAAAATTAAAGAAAATATAGTGTGAAAATGATCGTTGTTAGTATTGCATCCTCGAGGGGGGGGGGGGGGGGGGGGGGGGCTTGTCCCTTTTTTTAAAAGTCTTCCATGACTTCCATCTCCCATGCAGTCATCCCAAACATTCTCAATAGTCTATATGATAGCAGAGGCGGAGCTACAGGGGCACGGGGGCACGTGCTCCTCCCCCAATCGAAACAAAAGCAATAAAAAGCAACAACAAAAAAACGAGAATATAGAGCATGCGAAAAGCTAGAGAGCATGGGAAAGAGAAAATCGGAAAAAGACGAGAAAAGAAGACGCCTAGCATTTTATTTTCCAAGTTAGAACGGAGCCCTCACCCCCAGGGGCGTACGCAGGGGGGGGGGTTGGGGGTTCAAACCCCCCTTTTGTATTTTTATGGGTTTAACCCCCCCCCTTTGGATTTTTTTTAAATTTTTTTTTTATTATTTAAAAAAAAAATATGCCCACGGCTAACCTAAAAAAGGTGACCTTACCCCCCCCCCCCCCCCAACGAAGAAAAATGTCAAATTTTCTGAGCGACTTTTCGGCCGGCGCGATTTTAAATTTTTTTGGGAGCAAAATATTTTGGGCCCGATTTTAAACCCCCCCCCCCCCTTAAAAAAATCCTGCGTACGCCCCTGCCCACCCCCATTGTTTCAGGGCCGCCATCAATGGGTGGACTCATGTTATTCCACTCTATGATGTACAATACAATCACAGAAATGAAATGAAATGGTATCAGCGTTAAGTGATGAACAAATAAATAACATCCGTTGTCACATACCAAAATACTAGACGGAAATACTTTGACAATTTTTTTTTTTTGGAGTAACAATTATCAAACACATCTAGACTGGCTTTTAGCACATCATCTATTTCATATCATTCTGATGAAGAACCACATCCGTGTTCTTGACAACGCACCACTACTGCGTATCTTTTGAACATTCGTTAAGGACTCGTTTCAAAAGTGGATCTTCAAGTTTTTTCGGTAAGTATCACTTTGCTTGATATGAGGGCATTTGATTTCCCTTTCCCTGTACACTTTACCACGCATTACTATGTTTGGTTCTTTTTAGAATATTGCAATCACATGATTTTACATCCCCCGTGGATCCGCGCCTGTGTGCGTGGATGGGTGGGGGGGGGGGGGATCAGTTCCGGAGCTTTATAATGCCTCAAAACTAAAATAAATCTATGAAGCAGAAAATCACGGGGCAATATATGGAATAATATTGTCAAACTTGACCGGGATAGGGCAAACAACTTCGATTTTGAAATGCTGTTTTATGAACTAAGACTGGTTTAATCGGCGGCACAAAATTGTAAATATTGTTTTAAATAACGCAAATCGAAGTGAAAGAACGTAGATTGCAATGGGTTGATGGGTTGCTCGCCAAGGGTCAAACAAATAATATCAACAGGAAATTATATCACATTTATATTTAAAGGACACACATTTGCCAGGTTCAACTTATTGGATAGGAAATTAGGTCACCGTTTAGATCATTATTTTAACACCTAGGATCACCTACTGATGATGAAGGGTCTTGTTTACGTTTTAAAAGAATGCAATAAAATGTAAAATCTTAATCTTTTTTGTCTTAAATTTACTATTGCGGAGTGACAAATAACATGGGCTTAATTAAGGAAAAGGAAACCCATCCAAACAGGTTATAAATAATTTCATTTCATCATTGAAATCGTATTTGAAATACAAAGAAAAGTATAAAATACTTTGATAATGAAGAAGTAAAGAAAGTAATACAAAATGTTATAATGATCCTTTTAAGAAATTATGTTAATGTATGTAATTCATATATTTTGTTTTACTTGTTTTGTGAATAGTCTTTATATATATATATATATTGAAATTTATAAAGTCTCTCTGAAGAGGTACAGAGAAAAAAAAGATGAGGAAACGAATAAAAAAATAGCAGTAGTTCTAAATTGTATGTAAGTTTCATCATGTAACCCGTGTTCTAATCTATAATTCTATAAACGTAAGATTTGATGCCCCGAAATTTATAAATATATTTGTTGATGGTTTTCATTTGGAAGTAGAAACGTCATCGCAACAAAATGGAATCGTGGAAGAAAAATCAGAGGTCACTTTGGTTAACCATTATTTCAATGGTAAGAAGAAGTTAGATTTATTAATTACTTTCATTCATCTTTTCTTCTTGTTTTTTCTTGTTCTTGTTCTTGTTGTTCTTATTCTTTCAAATATTCACCTTCCCCATTTCCGAACTCTACACTTACACTTTAATGATCATATTCGTTTATTTCATATGTCATGATTTATTATTATTTTGCCCTTGGTCTAATCGTTAATTTGATCGAAAGGGCTAACTTGTCAAATTAAATGACAAATAGATAATATTGATGCATGAATGTAATAAGAAAACATGTGAATAGATACATTTATGAATAGATGATATAAATAAATACATAAATAAATAGATAAACAAATAAATGAATAAATACAAAATTAATAAGGAATCAAACATCTTCTCCAAGGTGATCGGAATGAGCTATGGTCAGACCGTAAACCTGACCGGTCCTGCATCCGTTGTCGAAGGGCGAGACGCTATCTTTACCTGCAACGTCACCGGGATTCTGTTCCCGACTTTCGTCTGGAACGACGTCTCCGTCACTCCGAGCCAACAGATCTTCGTCAACTTTGGGTCGTTCAGCGAGAAGCCCAAATACGACAACTTCAAGCTCTCGCAGTCGGGCAACTCCACCATCATGACCATCCGCGAAGCTGATTTTGAAGACGCAGGAAGCTTCGTCTGCGTTGCCTCTGGAGTCAATAGTGCGACTATCAAATTCACCATAGATGGTAATAGTACTTCTAATCAAGATTCGTTTATAATAGTCATGTTCTATTGCATTGTAATTCATGAATTAGGTGTGAGGTGGTTGGAAAAATGATTTTATTGATGATTGTTAAATGTTAAATGTTATGTTGAAATGTAATTATTTTGTCCGTATTTTACATATTTATGTATTTATGTACATGTATAGCACCTTTAAATGTCCGAAGGCAAACTTTATGTATTTTTTACATGACAATAAATTATCTTGAATCTTTAGATATATCATTGTGTCTTCCACCCACAGTCTTGAGCGCTCTATGAAAGTGCATACATATAAGCCAACATCCTACCACTCGTCTTTTATTCTACTCAATTAATAATAATAATAACGATATTAATACTATGAGATTCGTAAAGCGCCGAATCCAATTGAAATCGAATGCTCAAGGCTCTCTTGTGAAAAAAGAAAAGAAAAAGAGATCATATTAATACATCTGCATTATAAACAAAGGAACAGGATTAAGACAGAACATACATTAATGACAGAACAATATTATTTAAATGTCGGATTTACAGATGCGTTTTAAGATTTGTTACCACATTTCAACTGATCTGCTATTACGAATCTCTCGAGGGAGAGCATTTTACAACGAAAGGCCTCCATGAGCAAAAGTTTCTTTGCCGTTTCTATAGTATAGAGCTTAGAGAGAACAAGAAATCACTCTGTAAGAAGTAATATTAGAGTTCACTTTGATTTAAGTTGAATATACTCCAAAATGTTATAATGATCCACCCGAAAGTCAAAATTGAGAGTGGACCCCACTAAAGCTTTACAGGAACATGTAATAAAAAAGAGGAGGAGGTGGGGGAAGAAGAAAAGAGAAGAAGAAGAGAAGAAGAGGAGAAGAAGAGGGATGAAAAGAATAAAAAGAAAGAAAAAGAAGAAGAAGAAGAAGAAGAAGAAGAAGAAGAAGAAGAAAGAAAAAAAGAAGAAGAGGAAGAAGAAGAAGGAGGAGCAGACAAAAACTGATGCGTATTTTGTAATTAAAATGTATGCCTTCTAAAGAATGTAGGTGTTTCCCTTTTATGTTGGGCATCACTCATTTTGCTAATTTCTTTATTCTTCAACTTTCTAATCATTTTTCTTTCACCATGCATGCTTCTCCTCAACCTCATCATTTTATTGGACAATTATTAGAAGGTAAGACTTATTTTTTTTATTATTAAAAAATGTTTATCTGTTAATTGCGGACACAATATATTTGAGATTGAAAATGGATATTTTGTGGTTTATTCCCGCTTGATTAAAAGAAAAACACTGAAACACAATCCCCGGTCATATATGTCTTCATAATTATTATTTTTGCCAATCCATTTCCTTGTTATTCTTTGTTCTTTGCAACATAATATTGGGTCGCTTGAATGCCTCTTGAATCCTAAATACCATTTTAGCGTAAACAACTTTTTAAAATCAGGGTTTATGAATTTCGCGCTAAAGAGAACTGGGAGTTCCGGTAAAGATGAAAAGTAAATTGTGAGCTGATTCTCATTCTTTATATGTCAGTTTGGAAGAAAAAAAAACGGTAGAAAAATCTTATGAAAAGCGTGTTCTTCAAATAATAATAATAATAATAATAATAATGCAATGTTTATAAAGCGCATAATAAACTGCAGTTTCTCTAAATGCCCTTTTCATTAACTAAAGGGAAACTAGAATCAATTAAAACGTTTAAACAAACGTCAGCCTAAATTATTTGCCCGCTCAAGTACCAATTTCTGCGTGGAGTGCTATTCTCTCTAAATTATATCTTTCTTTTTTAAATCAATATTAAGAAGGTTTTCATCATGATCATGATCCCAATGCCTCATCATTGTAAACACTGATGCCAATGTACGAGCGAGGCCTTCTAGGGAGGTTTTTTTTTATTTTTTATAAAAATGTAATCAAATGATCAATAGTCAATCTCCTCTTTAAGTCTTTCGAACTGATGGGATGGAAACACGGAAATGCTTTACAATTACAATACTTACTCGATTGTTTTCCGAAGCGTATCTATTACCTGATTGTAGCGAGAACACAGAAGGTATTCTGATTGGTCACAAACATCCGGAAAAGGACACCACTGCAGACGTACGTGGCGTATCAAAGACTTCTCTATACGGGAGGGGGGGGGGGGGGGGGGGGGGGGGGGAAGAGGGAGGGAGAGGGAGGGGAGGGAGGGAGGGAGGGAGGGAGGGAGGGGTGTGTGTGTGGGGGTGGGGGCATTGACAGCTCTGCGTATTCTACTATGTTGACACGTTATGAATACATTGCAGACTGTTTTTTCTTATTTTGGAGTTGAGTGGGGTCCGGGAGTGGGGTACGCTGATATATCATTGAATATGCTTATAGGATTTGTATTTTTATGTTATAGCTTTTGTTTCTGGTTTTATTGATAAAGGTGCCTCCAACATTAGAATTCAATTTGTGCATCAATTGACTTTATCTCTCTCTTTTTATCTAGTGATCATGTTTATTTACTCATTTTCTAGATTCACCATGGTTTGGCCATCCTCGAAGTTTTATCGTCATAGCGGCTCTCGCCATTCTTCTGGTAGCTTCAATAATCATTAACATCTCACAATATATCAAATAAAATGATTATTAATTCTAAGGGTACAGGTCTAATTGTCCGGATGTTAATTTGCTGGTGTGGTGTTCCGTCATAATTCTCTTGGATAGTTTGACCCTCGCAATTTTTCTTATAGCTTCTGTAATCATTAACATCTTACAATACATGACATAACATGATTATCAGTAACAAGGGTATAGGTCTAATTCTTCGGTTGTTGTTTGTCCTGGGGTGTTTTTTGTCTTAATTTCTTTGGTAGTTTGACACTCGTAATTTTTCTGGTAGCTTCTGTAATCATTTACATATCAACATATATGAAATGTCCAAAATTATAAAGTTGTTTATAAGAGTTGGCATACTCACTTATCCGATGGTAATTGTCCTAAGTATCATCGTCCGGATGTGTATTCCTTTTTAAAGGAAATTTGTCCAAAGTTAGGGGAGTGGGGTCCAAGGGGTAGTTGTCGTAGCATCAATTTTCCAAGATGACAGAGATAAGTATGAGGTCTAAATGACTGATTAATTTTGTGTAACAAGTGGACATTTCCTTCTCAATTGTTCTATCATACCACAACAAAATATTTAGATCAGGTATTCAGCCGTGCATGGTTTGATTCTCTTATACATGAATATTGATAATGGAATGAAATAGGAGAATGTGGCTTACTTAATTTAGCCGTCAAATAAACATTCTTCTGAACTTGTGATAATACTCGGCAGCAAATGAAGTTATCAAAATATGGCGTTGGGGGCTTGGGGCTATTATTATATTAGTGATATTTTTGTCGACTGGTAGATGTATTTTAGTTCGTGTTTGGGTACATTTTTCATGAGGATTTGCTTTCGAAATTTCCTTTTGGTTGGAGGTTTATTGTCATGAGGGATACATGTACTACCCTGGGATAGTTGCATCCAGGGCCGAATGTAGGCACCCGGGTTTGTATAAAATCAAAACTTCAAATAAATGATTTGCTGTACTAGGCCCTACGCAGTTGTACGATAGCTTTGGACAGACTGCAATATGGATGCAAATCAATAAAAGGGTATTGGTGTATGAACTGAATTGTCATAATCGAGAAATTTGATATGATTTTTTTATTTATAACAATAATGTGCTTTTTATCCACTTAGACTACATCAGCTGTTCAGCATGGGACTGTAATACTATTTAGTGAAATATGTTTCTCAGTTGTATGTAGAAATTGTTTTCAGTTGTCACAGATAAAATGGATCTCTGGTTTTAAGTGACGACCATGGTTAGAATTGTGTAGAAAAACATAATCAAGTTTATATAGGCCTAATATGATTTTGTATGTTTAATGCCTATTGATGCCGTAAGTGTTATTCCTAATTATTTAAGGCAAGTTCGAGTCGACATAGCTTTTTCATCAAGGAACATATCAATAAATCAATGGTTACTGATATTTCGTTGTCATCTCCATAACTGTTCAACAGTTATAGTAGAAAAATTGTATAGAAGATTTTCTTTTTCTTTGCTGCTAAATTTAAGAGTAATTTATGTCGATTATGTTTAATGAAATTAAAGTGTCCACTTATCTCTTTTCCTTATGATGCTTGGATATAAAACCAAATAATTTACCAGTTTGATTCCGTATAATTAAAATGTGTACCAACGATAATTTTTTTTTAATCTCTACTACTCTGTCTTAAGCATTGTTTATATTTAAGCCTGGTGATTATATTCATGATAAGGTTATCACATTGTTGTGTCTAATGATTTTGAGCCTTTGAAAATAAAATGTAAGGAAATTGCACTTTTGTTTTTAATTGTGTTCTGCTGTGTTTCCAAGACCCCAGCTACACAGAACGCAGATGACAAGAGTACAAACAGGAAATGTATATCCATGTATATCCACCAGCAATGGTACGTGGTATCATGGATATATCTCCACGATGGTATCGTAACATATATTACAGTTTTAGAAAAAAAAAGGGGGGGGGGGAGGGGGGAGTAGAAGAAAAAAAAAGCGGTCATTAATTAAATACAAATAGCGCGGATGTGGAAATAAAATTGAAATATTTTTAACCCTGATTATATTTAATCGAATATTCATAGAGCAAGAGACAGAGAGGGGGAAAGTACAGAACATGAGAAGTCGAGAGGGGAGATGGAGAGGGGAAGAAAAGAGAGAGAGAGAGTGGGAGAGAGAGGGGGAAGAGAGAGAGGGGAAGAGAGCGGGTGAGAGCGAGAGAGAGAGAAAGAGAGGGAAAGAGAGAGGGAGAGAATGAGAGGGAGAGAGAGAGACGGGGAGAGAGAGAGAGGGAGAGAGAGAGAGAGAGCGAGAGAGAGAGAGAAAGAGAGGGAGAGAAAGAGAGGGAGAGAGAGAGAGAGGGGGAAGAGAGAGAGGGGGAGAGAGAGAGAGAGAGGGAGAGAGAGAGAGAGAGGGAGAGAGAGAGAGAGAGAGAGAGAAAGAGAGGAAGAGAAAGTGAGGGAGAGAGAGAGCGAGAGAGAGAGAGAGAGAGAGTGAGAGAGAGGGGGAGGGGGAGGGAGAAGAGAGAGAGAGAGAGAGAGAGGGGGGGGAGAAAAATGAGAGAGAAAGCGGGAGAGAGAGAGAAAGAGAGAGAGAGCGAGAGAGAGAGAGAGAGAGAGAGAGGGGGGGGGGGGGGGGGAGGGGGAGGGAGGTGACACTATATAGGTTTGTTATATTTCAGGAAGAGCCCCCTTCATCGTAGCAAGACAATTACCCTCTGGACAATTACCTCCCTCAAAACGAAGTAGGTAATATACACTCCTTTATGTCACATTAACGCCCCTCCCCTCAGGAAAAGAAAGGTATTATGGAGGCATTGTATGAAAGAATGCAATTCCTTTGTGAGCATGTGCTGAGCTGGGGGAAGTGACATATAATACCACTTTCTCTTATTAGCGCACTAATGATTGACAGATGACGTCACAAGATGAATGAATCTGGAGCAATTTTGTAGGGTGGAGCTTAGCAGGTCTGAGAAAATTATTTTAAGAAATATTCAAAAATCTATGAAATATATTTATATGTTTGAATAACAAAATATGAGTTGTATGCAGCTCTGAACATCAATAGGAATCAACTTATATTTGGATGTCACCCGACCATTAAGGGTGGATCCCGTCTATGCCCCTGTCTGCATTTCCATGGTAATGTCTAGTTGTCGTGGTAAAACAAAATAATGCAGATGATGACGGGATAAAAAGATGACACACTCCGAGTGTCTTAATCTAATAACAACAATCTCAATTTCGTTTTTAAATTGATTTATTTAATTGGAAGACATATGAAATAAGATCCTTTGTGTAAACAGCCAAGAGAGATATATTCAAGTACGTTTTCCTGATCAACACTCAAAGAATGAATAGTTCCTATTGAGATTCCATTATGGATGTTTGGTTATGAAGACAGTAGTAAAATATACCCTTCATAGTTTGTCAAGGTGATACTTCTTTTAATAATAGTAATTGGTCTTTAAAGGGCCACTCTAACCAAAACGGGCTAAAAATGAAAAAAAAAGACATGTAGAATAATTTTTGACGGAGATTCCGAACATGACAATGATTTTTCTTAGAAATCATCAATAACTCTGACATCTAGCTTAAAAAATGATGAGTCAGAACGCTCAGAGAAAGCCAGTTTCGGAGCTGTATTGCGCAACTGTTTATTACGTCACTGCAGGCGCCTCTTCTGTGAAAAGGAGGGTGATTTAGGCACTAATATGTCTTTAAAAAGGCAAACTATGATATTAATTGGAACAAAAAAGACATGTATCCGAAAAATAACATGTACTTGATATTCCCGGTACCTTTCTGGCAATTACGTCATTTCTAATGTAAGATCCTTAGTTGTAGGTCAAATCGAACATGCCCGCAATGACGTCAAATGCATCATCAAGGTCACGTGACCGTGTTACCTTTTTTTCGAGGGGCGTAGCCCAGCAAGCGTGAGAACTGTGAAAAATGGATGGTTATAATTTGTTTTGTCAATTTAGAGATTTTCTGAAAAATCAGAGACTTGAATAATAATAAGTAGAGGTGTATTCCTGTTTTGAAAGGCTATGTTGTTTGGGTTAGAGTAGCCCTTTAAAGGGGAAACTACATTTAATAGTAGGGCCTGTAATTAATGCTCTCCGATCCTGCGGCCACTGACAAGTATTGTTCCCCCGGCATTGCCAGGTATCCATTTCGTACAGCTGGGACGAGAGGGACAACATAATTATAGGCATTTTTTCTCTCCAAGAATGTGAGGACCAAGCAAGGCTTGAACCTGGGATCTTTCGTATGACAGCCAAGAGGCAACACCGATGTAATGCGGTAAGGTATGTAATCCCGTAGGATTTTTTTTGCAAAAGTTGATTTTTGTTGTTGTTGTTGCTGTTTTGGCTTCAAAAAGGTCCAAATTGACCGAAAATGATGGGGTTCAAATTTTCAGACCCCTCCTTAATTTCCTGGGGGGGGGGGGGGTTCCTTATCGGGCCTCAAAATGGCTTATATAACGCGCAATAGGGAAATTTGGTATCTTCGAGAAAATTTGAACCCCATCAATTTCTGATAGCATGGACCACAAGAATACAAAAATGCAAAAAAAGAAAGAAAAAAAAAAATCAACTTTGGCACAAAAATCATACGGGAGCTGTTTCAGTGACATACCGTACCACACTAATGTATTGTGCTCCCACCTACTCTAATGAATAATGTAATGGAGGGAGGGGGGGGGGGTACAAAACAAGAAAGAAGTTGGCTGGTAGGGAAAGGTAGAGATAGACGAGGGAAATGGATTAATATATCATTGTAGTTCATTGTAGTTCATTAAAATAATCTGTAAAGGGTAAATAAAACAGGCACGCCATAAAAGTGTGGACTAACTTAGTACACGCTACCGGAATACCACCTTATGTGATTAGACAAATACCTTGCACAAACATATACACATTAATTTTCTCCACTCACGTTAGTTAGCGGTTATTTAAAACAAAAAAACATTTTCAAAAAGTTTGATTGCGGATGGCCTGCATGAGCAACGGACTCCTAACAATATGAACTGCTTGCTTTTCTCATTTTATTGCTTGCTATGTTAGTTTATTAATTGATTGTTTTCCGATGTCACCAGTCTATTTCCGCTATTAAACTCGTGTATTTAATATAAAAAGACAAGAGCAAAGTGGTCTCGAGTGAGTTAGATATATGACTTTTGTAAATATTGTTTATAAAGATGTCAAGTAGTCTCTACGTATTTTTGTTTTATTATCAAAGTTATTACTGACTGAAAGAAAAAAATCTTACGCCCTTGATTAATAATCTATTGATAAATCCAATACAACATCTACCGCTAAATTTAAAAATGTGACACGAACTTAGTTTTGAAAAAATATCATTTCCAGATGCTATACAATGAGCAAAATTTTGTTTAATACCAGTTGTAAGTTTTTAAATATTTAAGTGTGTCAAATGTTTCTTTTCACAATCACCACTTTAGAGACCTCAAGAACAAACAGGAATTAATATATACCACAGTATGAATGTCCAGCCTCTTAAATATTCTTGAGTTTCAAGCTTATGGGATGAGTCGAATGAAAAAACAAAGGAAAACAAAATCGTTAAAATTTACTTGATACTGCCGCCCCGAGTACAATTATTTTGGAAAGAACTTAGGGTACTTAAAATAATTACTACTCGGAGTATTAATATCAAATAAATCCTAATTATTTCCTGGTCTAACTTCAAGTATGAACCTGTTTTCCTGACTGAAAACTATAAAAACATCATCATTGTATCGGAAAGATATGAATTGAAGATGTAAAGTGAAGTGAGTAATTAATACAGATACCGCTTTTCAAAGTACATGTACTTATTAGGGGCGGATGCTAAGAAGAAATGTTATATTTGTTATCCCTGAATAGAGGTGAACTTGTGTACATTAAGATTTCATAAAAATGACTTCTCGCTGACCCATTTCAAGTGACATTCAATTTTTTAATCAACATTTGTTTCCAATGTCATTGCATATTTAAAGATAAACTGAGTTGAAGCTGAACATTGGGAGAAGAGGGGAATAAAACGTACAAAGTATATGAGACAAAGCTTATGGTAACTTTGAATTTTTAAAAGTTACGATAGCGTTTTATTTGGAGCTCCCGTCATAATTCGAAATGTGTTCGTCATATGTGACGTCATTTTTCGATTGCTTTTCTGTTCATTGCGTACTAAACTTCTCACAATCATTTTCCTACTTTTGTATTCAAAGGAGCGAGAAACCTCCTACAACATACCTCGAATCATATATTTTTTATGTCATTCCCTGAAATTATAATTTGTTCAACGCTGCAAGTTAAGAATGAAAAATTCCGATACTTTTAGTATTGCATCGTATTGGTTTGTTTATTGAGATTAAACAAAAAACAATCATCGAACATGCAGCTAAGAGCTAAAATTGCTCAATTTACAGAGTAAAAGGTACATGGCATGAAAGTACATTGATGATACATTTAAAGATATTGAAAACTTAACATGTTTTGTGTATACATTAACGTGCGATATACAAGTTTCATTGTTAATATAAAATTGCCATTTGTTTTGAGTAAAACAGAGATTTTAGTAATTTGAGTACAAAACGAAAGAAAACACGAAAGAATGACTTTTGGATGATGA